TTGACTCTTGATTAAAGTATCTTCAGCTTCTGATACAGATATCAAATACACGTAAGCCACAAAAATCCTTACCTCAATCATGAGTAACCTCTGTAAACAGCTTTATCCATTCATTGATTATATACTAGGCACATAAAGAAACTGTGCATACAAAATTTAAAACCTAAATTGATCAAACCTGTGTAGACACATAAGGATTCAAACCCAGAGATTAGTTACATGTATCCAACATGCATGCACGTGCCACATTCCGTAACGTCAGTGGGTTCGTCCTTGAGACGTGCAATACGTTGTTGCACGTGCATCCCTGGAAAGATAAACAGAGCAATTGAATGCCACACAATACTGTCACTTTGGAAAGCTCAACCCCTGCCCTTGCGATCGTTCAAAATATTAAACGGCTATTGAAACGCATAGCATGCCAAGGCTCACGTCTGCACAACGCCATGAGGCCATTCGGATGGTCCGTGGGGGAACGTCTCAACGACAAGTGGCTGCACATTTCCACTGCCACCGGAACACCATTTCTGCACTGGTGAGATAAAGAAACTGTGCATACAAAAATTAAAATCTAAATATATCAAACCTGTGTAGACACATAAGGATTCAAACCCAGAGATTAGTGACATGTATCCAACATGCATGCACGTGCCACATTCCGTGACGTCAGTGGGTTCGTCCTTGAGACGTGCAATACGTTGTTGCACGTGCATCCCTGGAAAGATAAACAGAGCAATTGAATGCCACACAATACTGTCACTTTGGAAAGCTCAACCCCTGCCCTTGCGATCGTTCAAAATATTAAACGGCTATTGAAACGCATAGCATGCCAAGGCTCACGTCTGCACAACGCCATGAGGCCATTCGGATGGTCCGTGGGGGAACGTCTCAACGACAAGTGGCTGCACATTTCCACTGCCACCGGAACACCATTTCTGCACTGGTGAGACGCTACCAGAACACAAGTGACGTCATCGATCGGCCACGTTCTGGACGTCCACGTGTAACAACGCCAAGACAGGACGTATGGATAAGGGTGACCCACAGGTTTCAGACTGCAGTAATGACTGCCCGAACCATCCCAGGACTTCGCCGTATCCTACCCAACACAGTTCGACAACGTTTAGGACATCACTGGATCAGACCACGACGTCCCGCCATACGGCCTATCCTGACACGATGTCATCGACAAGCTCGGCGAATGTGGTGCCGAAATCATGTCCGCAGACCCTTGTTTTGGTTAGATGAGTCCAGGTTTAACATTTCCCATAGTGATGGACGTCAACATGCCTATAGACGCGTGGGAGAACGTTATGCACAGGCCTGTGTCTTGGAGAGGAATCGCTTTGGTGGTGGTTCCGTGATGATTTGGGGTGGAATAACAGCACGCCAAAGAACTCCTGTGGTGATTGTTCAGGGCAACTTAACTGGTGGGGGCTACAGGGATCAGATTCTTCGACCTGTGGCAATTCCTTTTCTGCAACGTCATGGCCTTGGGTTAACATTCCAACAGGACAATGCCCGCCCTCATACGGCAAGGGTTGCTATGGATTTCTTGCAACATCACAACGTTGACTTATTGCCTTGGCCTGCAAATTCATTGGATGTCTCCCCGATAGAGCATGTTTGGGACGAGATGGATCGACGTCACGCCGTCTTCCTCATCCGCCAGATAACGTCCTTGACCTTGCAACACAACTTGAAAAGAATCTGGCGTGACATCCCCACAAGCCTTCCTTGCACGTTTGATAGGCTCTATGCGTCGTCGATGCACTGCTGTTCTCAATGCCGATGGTGGACATAAATTGCACAATCGACTCTGCTTCCAGGTACGAATTGTTAATCAGTTACCATTGACACGCAAGACGCCTAAGAATATTTTTTATAACGCTTCGGTCGTCATATTGCGCAACTAAAAGCCACGGTTCAATTTCAAGAGCCTTGGAGAGAAGCCAATTAGTATGGAATTTAAACAACTGAGAGAAAGACATGGGGTGGTTCACGCATAAAGCATGTGTACCCGGGGAGTACTAGTAGGTTCTTATCAGCCGAGAAGTCCTTGTTCCACGGGATGTCCTTATCACCTGCAATGTCCTTTTAACCTGAAATGCCCTTCTGACCTGGGGTGTCCTTGTCCTCCGAGATGCACTTGAATCACAGATGTCCTTATCCTGCGAGTAGTGACTTAACCTGTGATCCTTGTAATGTGGTGTATTCGTTCCCAGTAATGTCTTATTGTCCTCCTGCCTGCTATAATCTCACTGTCCTTGTGCCGCTTCAATTCCTTGGTCATATGATTGTTTAAGACTGGTTGTAAGACTGAACAAAAGGAAACAGATTTGTGCGTTCTCCAAACCAAACTTGTAAATCCTGCGAATGAAAATTCAGTTGACCGACCCTTTGCCTCCGAAATAACAATATACTAGTATAAATATATCTGATTAATACGAACACCTGCCTGCTTGATTGATAAACCAAACAAATGTGCCTCAAACAATAGAGATGAGTCGGTGTAGGAGTTGAATACTGTTTGTAATGAAGTTTCTCATGCAAGACAATACGGAAGGACTTGTATTAAGATATTTTGACTATCGATTAAAGTATCTTCAGCTTCTGATACAGATATCAAATACACGTAATCGACAAAAATCATTACCTATATCATGAGTAACCTCTGTAAACAGCTTTATCCATTCATTGATTATATACTAGGCACATAAAGAAACTGTGCATACAAAAATTAAAATCTAAATATATCAAACCTGTGTAGACACATAAGGATTCAAACCCAGAGATTAGTGACATGTATCCAACATGCATGCACGTGCCACATTCCGTGACGTCAGTGGGTTCGTCCTTGAGACGTGCAATACGTTGTTGCACGTGCATCCCTGGAAAGATAAACAGAGCAATTGAATGCCACACAATACTGTCACTTTGGAAAGCTCAACCCCTGCCCTTGCGATCGTTCAAAATATTAAACGGCTATTGAAACGCATAGCATGCCAAGGCTCACGTCTGCACAACGCCATGAGGCCATTCGGATGGTCCGTGGGGGAACGTCTCAACGACAAGTGGCTGCACATTTCCACTGCCACCGGAACACCATTTCTGCACTGGTGAGACGCTACCAGAACACAAGTGACGTCATCGATCGGCCACGTTCTGGACGTCCACATAAAGAAACTGTGCATACAAAAATTAAAATCTAAATATATCAAACCTGTGTAGACACATAAGGATTCAAACCCAGAGATTAGTGACATGTATCCAACATGCATGCACGTGCCACATTCCGTGACGTCAGTGGGTTCGTCCTTGAGACGTGCAATACGTTGTTGCACGTGCATCCCTGGAAAGATAAACAGAGCAATTGAATGCCACACAATACTGTCACTTTGGAAAGCTCAACCCCTGCCCTTGCGATCGTTCAAAATATTAAACGGCTATTGAAACGCATAGCATGCCAAGGCTCACGTCTGCACAACGCCATGAGGCCATTCGGATGGTCCGTGGGGGAACGTCTCAACGACAAGTGGCTGCACATTTCCACTGCCACCGGAACACCATTTCTGCACTGGTGAGACGCTACCAGAACACAAGTGACGTCATCGATCGGCCACGTTCTGGACGTCCACGTGTAACAACGCCAAGACAGGACGTATGGATAAGGGTGACGCCACAGGTTTCAGACTGCAGTGATGACTGCCCGAACCATCCCAGGACTTCGCCGTATCCTACCCAACACAGTTCGACAACGTTTAGGACATCACTGGATCAGACCACGACGTCCCGCCATACGGCCTATCCTGACACGATGTCATCGACAAGCTCGGCGAATGTGGTGCCGAAATCATGTCCGCAGACCCTTGTTTTGGTTGTTGATGAGTCAGGTTTAACATTTCCCATAGTGATGGACGTCAACATGCCTATAGACGCGTGGGAGAACGTTATGCACAGGCCTGTGTCTTGGAGAGGAATCGCTTTGGTGGTGGTTCCGTGATGATTTGGGGTGGAATAACAGCACGCCAAAGAACTCCTGTGGTGATTGTTCAGGGCAACTTAACTGGTGGGGGCTACAGGGATCAGATTCTTCGACCTGTGGCAATTCCTTTTCTGCAACGTCATGGCCTTGGGTTAACATTCCAACAGGACAATGCCCGCCCTCATACGGCAAGGGTTGCTATGGATTTCTTGCAACATCACAACGTTGACTTATTGCCTTGGCCTGCAAATTCATTGGATGTCTCCCCGATAGAGCATGTTTGGGACGAGATGGATCGACGTCTACGCCTTCTTCCTCATCCGCCAGATAACGTCCTTGACCTTGCAACACAACTTAAGAGAATCTGGCGTGACATCCTACAAGCCTTCCTTGCACGTTTGATAGGCTCTATGCGTCGTCGATGCACTGCTGTTCTCAATGCCGATGGTGGACATACCCGTTATTGAGCTTGTGACATGATCGTTGGTCGTTTAACCCCTGTCCCGCTTGTGGATTGGTGACGTCATTGTGATTGACTTTTCAATCGAAATTCTCCCGACTTGTTATGGTCTCATGATCCTTCCATTAAAGTTTATATGTACCTTTGACATTGTTATCGTACTGGGATAATATTTTGACAATGCACAGTTTCTTTATGTGGCTAGTATAGTACGAATCGGACTATATGTTGAGCATGTGATTTTGAATCACTACTGGTGATACCTGGGGTTCCAAAGAGGGAAGAGAGTGATAAACACAACATAAAAGTCAAATGTGAGCTTTATTTTACTGAATTAAAAGAAATTGTCCCGCCTACCCAAGGGTACCCTCCTTGTATACTGTGCGATAAATAAAACAATGTCAAAATGCAGGTCAGCATTGTGATGGAGGGGGAGGGGTTGCCCGGAGGGAGTGGGAGAGAAGGGATCAAATGAGTTTTGTTTCTTGGTGAACTTCAGTTCACAATTGCCGGCATCACCATGACGGCACGTACACAGGTATAAGACCCACAGCTTGAGGGTTTGCGAAACACTACACCTATCGTCACAGCCAACTCTTGTCCAGTCACTACCACGATCTTATCAAACCAGCGGCCTGCAACCATGAAATTTACGATAGCAATTCTTTTGCTTGGTAAGTATCTTAACTTATACAGGTGTAAAATCTGTTCATACTAATAGTATACATTTTACATAATAACAGTGAACTAAATTTATGATACTGCCATTCCTGATTCCAGCAATATCATATGGTGCTTAATATGAAATGATTATAGAATTAATATATAAATTTGGCTTCTTACTCTGTGTGAAAGTTGTATCTGAAAGAGGAGAAAAGTTCTTATTTGCAATTCGTTTATCTTGATTTGAGGATACGGATATGTTGTCTTCGCTTAGATGTTTTAATACACATAACTTCCACACTTTAAGTTCTCATTCAAAGGTACAGCGCCTGATTATCGTTCTGAAAAGTTGCTACAACTAATACGAATGTTCCGTTCATAGTCGAAGGTTGCCACACGCTCCTCGGTCGAAGGGCTCATTTTAATGCTACATGCTTATCATTATTCTCTCCATAGTAAAAAGTAATGCATATGCTACCCGTTTTGTTCTATACCTTCTATATTTCTATATTGTATATTTTTACTTGAGTTTAATTTTCCTTCTTCTGTCATCAAGGGTATAGCAGTCATGTTATAAGGGCCACGTCATCTTCTTGAGTTTTTCTGTAAGCGATGATTCACCTTACCTTTCTTATGTATCTATAATCAAGTGAACAAAGGGACGTTTACACTATTTTCATGCATAAAATGTGCTGATCCCTGAACAAAAACATAGCAACACAGTCAGTCTGTATGATAACAAGGTCAGGGAATGTTCATGATACCCCATGCATTTTCAGTGCAAGGTTTGCCCATTTGCTTTCAACAACATGTCAGCGAATTATTTTCATTTACATATCCCTTTATCCAACATATCTGGACTCTCCCACTAAAACCGCCAGGATTACCACGGGGCAAGGAGTAATGATTCTCAACCGGACCGAAATATATTACAATGAACGCCAAATGAAGATTTGCTTTTGCTTCAGGTTCCCTGCTCGGGTCAGTGGCCTCCTGCAACCTTGCTTCTTGCTCCCTGACGGGTGCGCTGACGGGGACAGCCGGATGCACGTATGTGACATATTTTGTTGTTTTATTGAGCCCCAGCTTAGGTGTTTTGATTGTCGAGACAGATCGACTGTAGTTACATTGGGAATACGTTTGAGTTACTCTATTTTGCCACATCTGAATGTAGCTTGAAAAAACACATCTTGTTTCTTTACAACTTTCGCCCACCGTTTTAACAGAAAATTACAATGTTTTAAATAACCTTGTTGAAATATACCTGTAACTGTTCAAATAATGTATCTTTATGTTTGGGGATTATGGTTCAAAACTGAGATAGATAATAATGTGATGCGTTATCAAACATTTCGGGTTTTAACCCGCATTTAGCAATAGTCCGGCAATACTGTGGCAGATTATACCAGAAATACTGGACGAATGGCTTTAACCAGAAGGCTACCCTGCCACCCGACATGGCCCAGTGGCAGCATGACAGTATAAGACAAGTCTGTGATCTGAATGACAAGTCTCTGGTTATGATTGTTATTTGGTTAACCCATCCTAAAAGTGACTCCAATCATATTCGTACAACTGCGATCGAGGGAGTAATTTTGGCACATAGGTAGAATTTACCATTCAAAAAAGTCCAGCTCCGATGAAATATATTTTACACGTTATTTCCAAAGAAACATTCAAGTAATCTGCTTCATATACTCAATTTAATGTTGTCTTTTCTTCAGATTTGTTATTTCTCAAGTGTGCAAAAGTGGAGAGATTTCATTATATCCAAACTCGACACTCATTCAAATTCATAATCCCGTTCATTTTTGCAAATTGAAATCATAACAAAAATATAACTAGTCACTGGAGGTGCAGTGTTTTACTTTAGTCTTATCTGCACACAGGAGCTACAAGGACTATCTCGATTGTCTGTCCGCCCAGTCCGGCAGCTGTACCAGCGGTACATCAGATCTAGTTCAGAAGGGACTCATCGACGCCGCCATCACCAGCAACACAGCTATAAGAGCACTTTTGGGCTGCAGTAAGTACCGATGAAATAAATATATATATATATGGATTGTTTTCCAAATATTATTTTAGTTTCATCTTCTTCAGGAGAACGAATTATATGCCCTTACTAAATCAGGGTATATGTTAGCGATTGAATTTCCAGATTCCCTATCTATAAGCTTCACTGAACATTTTGACCATTACCAATGTCACACAGATACTGGAATGATCCTTTTTTTGGTGATTATATACTCATGTCAATAATGGTTGTCACGCCCTTCAATTGTTTTAATTGGAGAGGGGGTGTGGGGTGGGGGTGTGAGGTGTGTGTGGGGTTGGGGTGGGGAGGGGGGTGACAACCATTATTGGAATGAGTATATTTGAATGAAGATAGTGATATCCGGCGATCTATCCATAATCAAGTACACGAGAAGGCACAGCCTCATAACCCTCAAAAGAGACTGAAATCAGTTCTGTTAATGAAACGGTCAGTATTTACATAAACAGATACAGGATGTGGCAAGACAGAGTGTCACAGAGGCAGAGTATGTCATTTCTGCATAAACAATAAATTCATACAAACACACAAGAGTGTTAGTTTTTGATCGAAAGGTCAGGCTATGTGACTTGGATGATTGTTCAGATTGCTGAACATGTTTGCAATCACTGTTTTGCTCGCAGAGAGTCATAATAGAGCTGGAATATTGCTCAGAGCAGTATTATTCATCCTGTAGGTAATGCAATTAAATTTCAAGCTCACACATTTCCAAAATAGAAACAAGAATATATTGTCGATATCAAATAAAACGCACAGTATAGTACTAGGAGATCTAGGTTCTTATCAGCCGAGAAGTCCTTATTCCACGAGATGTCCTTATCACCTGAAATGTCCTTATAACCTGAAATGCCCTTCTGACCTGAGGTGTCCTTGTCCTCCGAGATGCACTTGAATCACAGATGTCCTTATCCTGCGAGTAGTGACTTAACCTGTGATCCTTGTAATGTGATGTATTCGTTCCCAGTAATGTCTTATTGTCCCCCTGTCTGCTATAATCTCACTGTCCTTGTGCCGCTCCAATTCCTTGGTCAGATGATATGTACACCTTCTTTTTCCATGAAATGACCTTGTTTCCCGAGAAATTATTGTCCTTGAGATATCCTTCCCTTAATCATTCACGCTGGGATTATTTTATATTTCGGTTGTTTCATGGACGGAATATATATTGCAATTAATCTTTTTCTAACGCAAGTGTACATCAACTGATGCAAGTATTATTTACTTTCTTTTCCAGGTGGTGCCAGCCTTGCAAGCATCTCCAGCATGGCTCTCATCCTGTCCGTAGTGGTAACGCTGATCAAAACTCACTTTTAATCCGAAAGGCTGTTTTAAGAACAACTAAATGCCTTTATTCCTCAGTGTTTTTTGGGATTGCATCGAGAAACAAATGTCACTTATCGAATAATTATGTAGATGTATGAATGTTCAGTGGTTAATTTTGTGCAAAAAATGTTACAGAAATCATTACACTATTATTATAGTTGTATGTTAGACAGCATAAGAGAATATGTGCATGGCATCTTCCTTGACTTGGCGTTGGCCTGACATGCAGTGTATATATAGCACTTTTGGAATGCTGTTGTTGTGAGATTGCTGGAACATTTCCTACGAGTAACATAAAACATAGTCGCATGTTGACTTGTTCGATGATTTTGCTCTGATTATAAATGATTATTTTACCAATTTAATTTGTTTTGTTGTGTTTAGTGGTTTTTTTCTTGAATCTGTAAGGGCGGTGGGGTAGCCCAATGGTCAAAGCGATCTTTCGTCACGCCGATGACACGGGTTCGATTTCCCACATGGGTACAATGTGTGAAGCCCATTTCTGGTGTCCCCCCGCCGTGATATTTCTGGAATATTCCTAAAAGCGTCGTATAATCCAACTCATACACTCACTCACTCTGTAGTGTTGCCATAAATGCATTGCCACGCCTTCGCAAACTGATGCAGACAGAGTTGATGAAGTGTAGAAAAACTATCGGCATCAGTACCCTATTACTCTTACATCGAGGTCCTGCCCCACACAGAAACATGTAGATTCCGACTTGATTTGGAATGTACCTCTGTTCACCTATACAGGACCAAAAGCCGGATAGTACACCATTGAAATAAAAGTAAATACAGTAGGAAATACATGCCATGACCGGATTTACGTATGTTTTCAGATATATCCTAACTTCAGGCATATATTTCATATGAATCTATACCTTTGAAACATATGCTCATCGTACATTTTCGTATGCACGAGCACCTCGTTCATGTATGCCATGACCGGATTGTCAGGTATTTCCAAACATGAATTGCAAAACAGATACCCCAGTAAATACATGATCATACAGTATTTCCAATGCAGTCCTATGAATTTCATTGGGTGCTGAAATTTCCGATTTCGTTCTAAGTTTACTCGGGTTGGAAACATGTAAATTTACTTAGCTGGGAAAACACTTGAAAATTATCACATTTGCAGATGTTTACACATCTTAGATATTTATGTATCATACGGGATTTCAGGGGTGTGTATATGAACGGTTCATGCATCTTCATGTTACCTGTGCTTATGCAAGATGATCATATGTTTCCATCATGTGAATTACTTGGTTCATGTAATTTCACTTTCACACATTTTAGTACTTTTGAAATCAACGTTCACGTGACCTCATTATTCTTATCACCAAAACAGCCTGGCAAAGAAAGCAGTATTACGCAAGCTAACAAGCCTTACAAAGCTGCACTCGCTCTTGCTACAAGTATCACTTACGGCTTGTCTGCAGTGTTGGCAAATCTTGTGAGGTGCTTGTTTCGAGGGATGAGGTGCCCCTTTGTCCTCAGCTGTCCCAAGAGAATAGCACTTTATCTCACACAGCCAAATACGCTACACGAACCAACTCAGTTCAGCTCGCGGATCACGACTGTAAAATTATTTTTGGCAGTACATAATTGGAATATTATTGCATTGCATGTGACCTTTCTTAATATTCTCACAGTGTCTGAACTTTGTTATTTCTCCTTCCGCTCAGCCTTTGCTGTAATAACGACATACATAAACTTTAAAGTTGTCCACATTTGTTTCACTAACGCTAAAGTAACAAACGATACGATAACAAACGATGCCATATCAAATTATATAGTCTGTGAGACATGAAATGAAAAATAGTTTTTATCGTGTTGCGATTATGAACGGTTAGAACAGGTGGGTGCGTTCTCTGAGTATACCATTGGCATGTTGGACCTCCGTGCCTTTATGAAATTCGTCTTGATTGTCCTGTTTAAATTGACGATCGATAAACTCAGATTGCGAAAGCAAATATCACACAAGTAAATGTGATGTTGCATTGCTGTACGTTCCCCGTCTGAGAAGGCCTTCCCACAAGATATATATTCCGTTGTTTGGAGCAGGCCTAGGACTATTACGCCCCCGCGTTAAACAACTTGTAGAGTCTGACCTTTTAGTCTGACACAGACGCAGACCTCGCATGTTCAAGTTCTGATCTGACAGGGCCGAAAATATTGATTCCGACATGAATGCAATATATCAGTGGGTTATTGTTTTCCTAAGTAAGTGGAGTGCCTTCTACAACATTGGAGATAATTGTATCCCTGTCCTTCTGATATTCCCCCGAACGGAAGCTCTACCCATTTAGGGTACAATGTGTATGTTACAGAATTGTAGGGCATAGTCTTAAGACTTTTCTACTTTGACCAGGATTCTTCGAACTCGTGACAGTCGTTTGAGAAGATCAAAAGAGAAAGGGGTAGTGCGCGATGTATCTGACGGACGTATATGGAGAACGTTCGAAGAACGTTACTGTATAAATACAATAACAGAAATACTGGTTATGTTTAAAAAGTACCCTCAATCTGATAGCCAGAGAGGTTATTGTGAACGATCGCAGTATGTATCATTATAAACGGGCCAAGATAAAAGCACATGTCATTCATCCCCATATTATATCCCTTTTATAGACACGAGACATCGTTGTTACAGGTAGGGCAAACACTTTCTTCTATAGGCATCTGCCGGTTTCACGCTACATACATGTATTCAGATTATTGAGAAAACTAGCGACGCAAGTTCTCCTCCATCACACATATAATAGTATAGATACTCAGTGATTAGTGATAGCGTTGAAGCAACTTTATATAATGTACGACCGACAGTATCATCTGCAGTAGTACTGCCATACCTAGCATCGTATTTATTACTCTTTTACATAGGTGAAATATCACAAAGTTGTCATGGTAACGATAATTTGGCATAATATCTATGGTCTTACTCTTTAATCAGCGATTAGAATTTAAATCAGTTTTGACGTCAGCATGTTAAGAGAAAAGAAGCTGTAAAACGAAAAGTATTGTGATCGAATCTATAGGCCTTTGTAAAACAAGTTTCAAGCCACCTACATAAAAACCTGTTTTCATGATAAATATCTGCTAATCCGTGGCACGATTCCGACCATATCATGAGCATGTGTTTGTGAATCAGAATCAAATAGTGATGTTCCAAGGCGTCCATGCCGCGTCAACAACACATGCAAACGCACGAGAATTGCAGTACTCTCGTACTCCCTAAACTACATATTCTCCGTGACCTGGAGACACTTGTGATTGAGCGTATGTAATAGACCCTGAAGACAAAAGATAAGTCATTTATTGCATAGCATTCCATGAAGAAACAGTGGCAATATTCTATAAGCTACAAATATTTACACAGTAGGTGCAACAAATATAGATACATTTCACACATAAATGAAGTACATTATAACATTTTTTTAGAAATCATGTGGTATAATGACATGGAAATAATATATGAGGAGACTATGGTAAGACATAGAATTCATTTAAAGTTGTTAAGATGGTGACATATTTTGGAAATTAATTCAGGACTTCTGTTCGTGAAAATTATTAGGAATTGTTCTTTTTTTGAGATTGTAGTAAATTCTTGGTCATAATAAAGCATTGTGTGTATAAGTGATTCCCTTTCTTCGCTATACTTGGTACATGATATTACATGGTGTTGCTCATCGTCTAAGACACTGCACATTTCACAGAGACGTTGTTCTAATGGGGTTGCAGATTTTGTATATCTTCCAGTTTCAATTTTGAGTTTATGATTACTTAAACGTAGTTTTCAAAATGTGATCGATGAGCTTTGTTTTTACAATGAAATAGGTAATTTTCGAGTTTTATAGATGACTTGACCAATCTGTATGTTCTATTTAATGTGTTATTTGAAGTAGGGGAATTACTTAGTGAATGCTTGAACATGTCTTCACATTTTGACTGGAGTTTATTCATGGTAGATAGATTACATTTATTCGTGTTCGCTATTTCAATATATCCAAGTCCACGCAAATCTAGAAAATGAGGCAAGTCTAGATTTCCACAGCTTCAGGAGAAAGTCTCAGGGCTCCTTTTCATTATATTTTTGGTTTTTTACTGTGAACTTTTTTTGTGTAAAATGAGTTCATTTTAGAGACTAGTTGTTAGTCTAGTAGGGACGGGTAGAGGACAGAAGACAAAATGGATACTCGTGCTGTTATACTTTTGAATTATATGTAAACATTCGGTCTTCTCTCGGAATAAATGTATATGTTCCAGTTTCAACTAAATGTACATTCAAAGGATATCGAAATCTAGGTTAAGCTATTTGAATCATATTTATAATTAATAGACCCAAACAATGATCTGTTGTCCAAATTATTGGTTTTCCATATCTTGTCCCAGTCTGTATTACAGTCTCAGTATGATATTATATCCCCTTCCGCCCAGCCCTTACTGTAATGCTTATACGCCCTGCCTAGATATTCCCAGGTTCAACGCCTGTTATAATCTGCCGGAAAACTCACTGCAGGGTTTTGGGTTACAGAGTAAACAATACCAAACACCCATGGCTGGCGGGACCAACATCTCCAGTAACATTTACATCTGCCAACGCTTAATTCGCAAGTGGTGAGGCAATAAGCTAATGAGGCTAAGGGTCCTGTACCATGTTTGTGAAATATCTATGATTCCTTATATGAAGTGTCTTTTTAATAATCTAAGCAAGCCTAGCTATGTAAGGCGTTAAGTCGATGCTTGAAGAAAGGCTCCTTTAGGATTATATTTGGTAAATATTAGTATTTCACTGACTCAATCATTTTGGAAAACACATGGCAACCTATACTTCATTGTGACTATGATTAAGGCATCATTGTAAAACACAAGGGTTATTTCCTTTGCGTTAACTGACAGGCTTTCGGTGTCAAATATTTGGAACTCCGGCCAAAGGTGATGTTATGCTGTCTGGAAATATGGCCTTTATGTAATGCTTTGGTTGCACTTAAGGATAAGTGATTTTTAAATGTACATAAGATGTTTTTGAAGGATAATCTTAGCTGACTCGGATACTTTGCACGTGTTTTTCCCCACTCTTTTCATACCCGTAAACATTAATTTTCTATATATGTCTGTAAGAAAATACTGTAAAGGAATACTGTAGTCCCAATATAGATGTTGTTATTCTGTGAATCTTCCAAATTACTTGGTCTTTTTTCCATTGAAATTAAGTTATTTGCCTTTTATCAAAATGATATATTTTCAAGACACTAAGCGTCAATCTTAATGTGCCTATGCCGGGAATCAAACACCGGCTTTTGACCTGACAAGCGAATGCTATAACCACGAGCGCATCCCATCATTCC